TCGTCATCCAAACTCCGCTAGATGACTGAATTTCAAATCACATCGAGACCTCTCATCACTTTATTTTATCACACACCAACTATTTAACTCATAATCTATATCACTAACTCATGAAGTTCGTCCGATCACTTCATAAAAGAACAAAGACTCCAAAGCTCTTCCAAATAAAAGTATAGGGAAAATACTGATAAAGTACTCCCGTACGCTCCCGTACCCCGACACGTAATAGTGTCAAAAGGAAGAACTCATGGATGAACACATAGTTCAAAAATACCTAATGAACATATAGTTCAAACATACGTACCAATTACAAGTCTACTAACGTTCCACTGGGTTATCTAAAATAGTCTGTGGCCGTTGTCTATACTCTGCTAGATGACTAGATCATCTTAAACATCGATACCTCTCATCACTTTTATTTCATCACACATCATCTAATTCATCTACCCATGTTTTACCCAACATATTTGTAGATAAAAATATATATACAGTTTAAAACTTGTATAAAACATCAATTCAACAGTCACCTCAAATAAACAATTAATATATTTACACATAGCACGTATTTTAAGGTAAATACTTCATATCTATGTGTAAGGTGAAAGTGACTATACACTCACCTGATTTAATGAAAATCGGGCAACAATTCGTTTCTAATAAAACCGGGAGTTTTATTGAGAAACCGGGCTCTGCGAGGGTCGGGCTTCGAAACCGAAAAGATAAATTTTTTCGGGCCTTCGGGCACTCCGGGACGTGTTCCGGGCGTTGGAAATGATCTCGGGGCATCGGGGGAGGTCAAAATGCTAAAAATATGAGTTTAGGGGTGAAAAAGGGCAAAATCCCAAAGTTACCCGGGAAGTCTCGCAACCCTCTATTTATAGGGGGAAGCTTCTGATCGGACGACTGAGAAGCCTCCAGGTGGCGAAGATCCGAAGCTCGCAGGACATGGGCTCGCACGTGGCTGCGCATGCGAAGGCTTCGCTGGCAGTTCCTGATTGGACCGAAGTCCGGGGCCGAGGTGGGTGGCTCGTGGCTCCTGCGAAGGCTCGGACGGATGAGTCACTACATACGCGTCGGATGCGAGGCTCGCCACCGAGACACACGCGTCGGACTCTCGGCTGCGCACGTGTCACTCCTCAGATGCTTCCACGGCTTCGGATGACTCAACATATTTCGGACACGTGGCACTCATTCAGCGAAGGTGACGTGGCAGAAGCCACCTATGCGAAATTTCTCGGTTTTCGCGCCAAAACTTCTAAAATCCATAACTTTCGCATACGAGCTCCGTTTTTGACGTTCTTTATATGCACGCGTAGGTAAAATTACGCTCTACAACTTCCGTCTCAACTTCGTCGGCTAATTTTGACTTTAATTTTTAAATTATTATTTTTAATAGACCGGGACAAGAAATTTGTTAAAAATTCATAACTTCTTCATCCGACGTCCGTTTTCGTCAGACTTTTTACCGTTGTGCTACTAATGACGAGACCTTCGATTCTCGTTTAGGTCGTGTCGGCTAAAAATCACTCGATCTAAAATTCGAGTTTTTAGTTGTCTACTGCTAAGCTGAAACTTCGAAAAATCATAACTTCCTCATACGAAGTCAGATTTGAGTGTTCTTTTTAGACCTACTCTCGGTTTAACGAACACTACGAGTTTCGTTTAGATTACTGAGGCTAAAAAGTAGTTTATCAACAACTCACTTTTTACGACATTCGGCACCGTGCCGGTTTATCGTGAAACTTCGACAGGTCATAACTTCTTCGTTATAACTCGGATTTCGGCATTATTTATATATCAGTAATCCTTGTCACGCCCACTACAAGTTTCTTAATAGATATCGGCTTTTATCTAAAATTTAATTTTTGACGCTCATTTTTATTCTTAATTAATTAAACCCTAATAATTAAGCATAAAACACATAATTCACATAATATTCACATAATTCCTTTTCATTTCTTCTAAATGAGTTACAAAGGTTAACCTAGACCATTATGTCAATATTAATGCCTAGCCTAGAAATACGGGCGTTACATCGAGCTTGTAAAATTTGTGATACAAAATGGTGAAAGAATTGGTGGGTTGTGGCACCTCTACAAAAATCCAAACGTGAATGAGGTCCAAAGTTTTCTGGAAGGTTGGTACATTTGTCCTCACGAGGCAGCGTGAAGAATTTTGAACTTCTATATCCATCGGCATGAACCCGATGTGTAAATACTACATGTCCATTTACAAATATCAATATGCAAAACGTTGTTTTCAAATAAAACAACGGTTTGGAAGAAGTCATCCAAAATCCTTCATTTGGTAGAACACCCCTTTTAGGATGGTTCGATAATAATGAAAGGGATCTGAATAGTCTCCATTAACTTACATCGATTACCTAACTGCATATCGTTGGGATAATACAACCAAAGAATGGGGCCATAGGTATCTAGACTCCTCCAAAACGATTGGGAGGCTTGTATTTATCCACCCATCTTCGGGAGAATTATTCTACCTTCAGATGTTGTTATGCCATCAAAAAGTTTGCAAGTCCTATAAAGACATTTGTACCGTTTCTGGTCACATGCATGCTACTTTATGAAGAGCATGCAATGCTCTAGGACTAATCGGTGAAGATAAAGAATGGATGACAACTTTTATAGAGGCTTCATCATGTGCCATTTCTTCACAGTTGCGAACCTTTTCTGGCGTTTATATTTTTTGTTAAGTTAGTAGTTCATTATCATTGTGCGAAGTTGCATGTTAGAAAATGAGTGATGATCTTCTGTGTAACCTAACTATTGACATTACAGGAAAATGTGTTCATATAAGTCATGAAATTTTTGCAACAACACGTACTTTTTGAACATGAAAAATACTTCAGTCTTTTACACCTTCAAAATCACTAGTTGAATTCCACTTGCCACTGTCATCGTCTGCTACTCTAACTATGTTACAAAATCGATTGTTACTTGAAGAGACGAGTTATGATAGGGAATTATTGGAAAGGCAACATTCAGAGATGGTATTTCAGTTAAATGCAGATCAACTTGTTACTTTTTGTATACGAACATGGTGGAGCCGGAAAGACATTTCTTTGGAGTACACGACTTGCCTATTTCAGATCTACAGGAAAAATTGTTTTGGCGGTTGCAACATCGAGAATAACATCATTGTTACTACTTTCTGGAAGAACAGCCCACTCAAGGTTCTACATTCCTATTAACCTTTAAGAAAAAACATCATGCAATATAAAAAAAGACACTACTTGCAGATCATTTGAAGCAAATGTCTATAACTATATGGGACGAGGCGCCGATGAGTGATAGATGATGCTTCGAATACCTTTATCGTTCCTTAAGAGACGTTCTATAATGTGACAAACAACCATGTAGCGGAATATCAATTCTTTTGGGTGGTGATTTCCATCAAACACTTCTAGTTTCTCCCAAAAAGCAGTATGACATACATCATTTCATTAAGCCTACCAAACTCATACCCGTGGCAATCTTTTGACGTTCGTAAACTACATCAAAACATGAGGTTGGTCAATGCCAATACCAATTCAACATTCGATTTATCAACATCAGCTTTCGCAACATGGTTAGTTGACACTGGCAACGAAAATTTAGGAACACCAAATGTTGATGATCTGGAAAATACAAGTTGGGTTGAGATACCAGATCCGCTTTTGATACCTCCTGGGGACAAATCTTTAGAGCGTCTTGTACATTTCGTATATAGGAATGGTGTGCTTGTAAATCCCTCTCCTGGTGATCTATCTATCAGAGCAATCGTTTTCCCTATAAACGCCATCACAAGCAAAATAAAATGGTCTCATTCTACAAATGAGTAGTGTTGATCAGATGTTATACATGCTATACAGGAGCACAACCGTTATGCAATCAAATGACAAACATACTTCAGAACTAGAAACTTTGTACCCGGTTGAATACCTAAATCAACTAACTTTTGCAGGGATTCTGCCTCATACACTATTGCTAAAACTGAATACCCCTATAATGATGTTGAGGAACATCAATCTAACAGAGGGTTTATGTAACGACACACGGCTGATCATTTCACAATTGCTTCCCACAATAATCAAAGCTATAGTAATAACAGGAACATGTATTGGAAAACGTGTCTCTCTCTCTCTCTCTCTATATATATATATATATAGATATATATATATATATATATATATATATATATATATATAGATATATATATATATATATATATATATATAAACAAAACTCTGGATCTACCCTTCGTCTTCACACGAAAATAGTTTCCAATTAAAGTTTGTTACACTATGACCATAAACAAAAGTTAAGGTCAGTCACCGGAAAAATTGGTGTGTATCTGTCTCAACCTGTATTTACACACGATCAACTCTACGTCGCCTTATCTTGAGCAACATCCCCCACTTCACTCAAAATTCTGATACGTGTCGACGAATATATATCATATAACTATTATTATATTTTATATATTATAATTATTAAAAATAATTCTTTAATTAATTTAGTAATTAATTATTTTAAATTTATTTTATGCGTTTTAAATCACTCCGGTAAACGTTTATTTTTAGTTATATAATCATTCATATTATTTATTAAAAGTTTTTTTCTAATTAATTAAACAAAAACAAGACATTACATTTATACTTCTAAATAGCATATTAATATTTTGAAAAAATATAATAAACTTTTAAGTACATGAAAATATATATTTATAATTTTAAAAATGTATTTAGGTATATAAAATATAATTTTACGATCACTATAAATGAAATTAGGAAAAAAAAAAAAAAAGCATAACAATATTATAAGCTTAAAAGTTTTTAAAAAAATCTATTTAATAATAAATTGATATTACAATGACAAAACTTAAAATAAGTTTCAAAATATCGATTTTAATAATAAAATAAAACAATATTTTTTTAAAAAAAATTATGGTTTTCATGTCGATATCCTTTTTCATTTTTCAATCACTTTTTCAAAAATTGGCAGCTGAGACGTTTACTCCACGGTGTCTTGAACGAGGCAAGTGGAGCCTTCTATCATCCATTAAATTTGTACTTGACTCATCTCGTTTTAGCATTGTTCGTTGCTTCACAGACCCACCCTCCTTTCTTCACTCTTTTCGAGCCCTTCGGCGTTCTCTTCTCCATCTCTTCTGACACCATAATCTTTACGCCACTGTAGATGCGGAATCTTGCTCCAGGTTTTCACCAACGCAAACCATCTGTTCGATGAAATGCCTGAACGATGATGTTGTTTATCGCCTCCACAACTCCGTATCATTTGATTTCCCCTGTCGTCCCCATTCTTGGGTTGGGAACTAAGTTCAAGATTAGTCCACGCGTTTCGTTCATTTTGGTGAAAAAGGACCGAGTTTTCGGGTATAAAAAGTTTAAAGAAACTATAACAAGAAGTGGGTTCTCGTGTGAAGGGTATTCGGTTAATGAAGCAGAATTGGCTTTGGAGAGAGAGATTTTGATGTTCATGAAGAATTCGAGTAACCCAAATGAGTTTCCGACTAAGAAACAACTATTGGATGCTGGGAGAAGTGATTTAGTGGATGCGATTTCTAAAACAGGTGGGTGGCTGGCATTGGGTTGGGATTATTCAGATGATGAAAATGATTTCGAGAGCAATTATTTCGATGATAATAGGGAGTTACAAACAAGGGTTGAGACTCTTCAACAAATACAAGATGTATATGACAATTCTTCGGGTTTTCAGAGTTCATCTCATCAATATGCTTCACCCTCTGGTAGATCACTGTAAGATTTTTGTTATTAATATGTCTATAATCTTTAATACAAGTTCTTGATTTAGGGTTCTTTAAATGAAAAAACACGCGATAGTATATAGAAAAGTAAATGTTCAAATTTTGAAATGTAAGATTCACCTGAAAAGCTTGCCTAGTACATTCAGCCTTATTACAAGTAATAGAAATTGAATGCCATTTCGAAAGACGGGTGAAAATTCTTTCTGATTCTTGAATAAAGAATGAAAATTGGTTTACCCCATTCAACAAAATCAAGAATGGTGTAAATGCTTCTACTTAAAAAAGAGAAATCGATACCCATTGAAGGAAATTGAGTTCAGTGACATAGAATACTCCATGTTGACTCAATATAATTCTTCTGATCAGTGAAATGGAAGCAGATGAAGATACAGGGGTGGAAGGCATTTTGAGTAGATTGAAGAAACATAGAAGTTTATCATTTGATGTTCATATGGAGAAAAGCATAAACGATACATATTCTTCTAGCAAAGACAATGGCAATATCTCTCCAAGAAAGCACTTCTCAGACTTTCAAGGTATTTCCTTTATAAACTTTCTACCCTTAAAGATTTTATATCTGTCTTTCTTCACCCATATTATTTATCAATATCAACCCTTTGTTCATATGCAGCTGCAGAGATTGATTATGGAAAAGATTACACAAAAGAAAAAACACCCAACATCCAACCTGATTTACAACTTGAAGATAGAAATAAGAAAGCAAGCCCAGATCATATAAGATCTAGACTCAAGCAAATGCAACTTGAGCTTTCCTCTGCCCTTCATTCATTGAAGTCAAAAAGTCAGACACTTACCCCAAAGGTACTTTATAGATTATCAATCATAACTCTTACATTTTACCTAATATGTTGTATGCATGACTTATAAAATTATGACCAATTTTCTTCATGAAAATGTTCATCAGGTTTATGAAAACAGTTCCAGTGAGTTGCAGCAGCTTTCTGATGCATGGGAATTCCAAGAAACTGAGCTTATGAAAGCTGAAGATAAGTTGAGATCAATACGAGCTAAACTAGCTGTGTTTGAAGGAAAGATAGCACTCTCAGTAATGTATGCATTCTCTTTTTCCATCAAGACCCTATCTGTCTACTGTCTACTGAGGAACAAAAGTTACAATTTTGTGTCCTACCTAAAAATGTGTGACAGGGACTTGCTTTCAAAGTCTCGTTTGTGCAAAAGACTTTATTGGCCTCATCCTCATCATCAAAATGACAAAAATAGCCCTGAAAAGTACGTGTAGTGTAAAATGCAAGATGTTTATAGTTTGTTTTCAGTGATACACAGAAGTTAGTGGAGGAGAAGCAAAGAAGAATCAACAGTGCCCGTAAAACTTTGCAGCTTCTTCGCACCACTTCTATATTCTGGACTCATTCGGCTTCAGAAGTTCTGTTGGTTGGATCATTTGATGGTTGGACCTCTCAGGTTCTTCTTTTAAAAATCTCTAAACTATGATATATTAATTATATTTTTTAGATTTTAAAAAGTTTATATTCTGAATTCTTATGCAGATAAAGATGGAGAAAACAGTAACAGGCATTTTCTCCACTTCCCTGAAGTTGTATCCTGGAAAATACGAGGTAAATAATCTTTGATTGATAGACAGGACAGAAAAGGACAGGTTGTACTGCTGACTGCTTTTGGCATGTTATGGACTGAGACTCAGACTGATGTCACTAAAGACAAAAGTTGCAAATATTTTGTGGACATGATGGGCTTACTCTTTTGATTCTTTGAATGTGAAAAAAGACGTAACTGCCCTCCCTAGTCCTCAATATTGTCGATAGATATAGACCTAGAAAAGGAAGAGTTTGGTTTCTTTTCTAATAGGAATTCAGACAAAAGAAGATAACAAACAGACTATCTTTCTTTCTGTTATTTAGCTAAATGTTGCTTTTTTTGTTGTGTAGATAAAATTTATTGTTGATGGGATTTGGAGAGTTGATCCGATGCTCCCAATAGTTCACAATAATGGGTATGAAAACAACATGCTTATTGTCCATTAACGATCTTCATAGCTTCTTTATCTACAAAATCTTGGTGACAATTAGAAGATTGTGTACAGTTTTTTACTTTTTTAACCCACATTCATATACTCTTGATTCTTTTATAAGATTAGTTTTGTCAATCTACAAAAAATGATTCATTTGTAACAATTTATTATTTCTGTTTATGATGTTTTTGAGTCACATGTCATGTCACATGTGTGGTTGGTTCTCCATCATATTATGTCCATGTTTTTGGTGTAGGTCTGGTTTCGCTTGACCAATCAATGTTTTTTGTTCATGTCTTGAATTGTATTAATAATAATTGAGGCATTAAGGTAGTAATTGGACATTGGTAGTACTGAATCAGAGATGGAATGGAATGGAATTAAGCCCAAAAAGTTGACAATTGTTTACAATTAAGTCTCAAAAGTCGGCAATTCCTTGCAATTAATTCCAAAAAACCCGGCAGTTGTTTACAAGTTTGGATTTTTTTTACACCAGTGATGCCAATGGAGCAGGAGAATATTGGTGACTCAATCTCCATCCTTATCCTTATCTCCAAATCTTCATTCTAATCATCATATTCATCCCCATCTTCATCGCAAAATATAAATGAATCTTCATCCCCAATGAGTATCGGGAATCTCCAACGGGGAATCATGAATGTCTTTTTCTGGTTTTATATGAAAACTTTTATGTAAAAAAAACTCTAAATTTCAATTTTACAAACATAAATTTAAATATTTTATAAAATATAAAAATATTCATAGATTGCATAAAAACTATATACAATTTTTCTATCAAATTTAAATACATACATAGAGAATCAAGTAGCAAAAAAATCATATAGTTGAGGTAACAATAGATAAACCAAGAATAAACAAAATTATATATGATGTTAGATTAGATAAATAAAAAAGAAAAAATATAATTTCAATAAAATAATTATTAATGAGTTGGATTACTTTTATCAAATTTTAGGTATTGTAAATTTTACTATAAGTATATGTTTTGTATTATTTTTTTATATTAATATCTATCGGGTTTAGGTCAATGGTCGAAGACTAGAGGAATTTCCATCCTAATCCCCTTTCCTGTTTTTTATTTGGAGATTCTCCATCCCCGATCAACTTGGGGATTCCCAATCAACATGGATGCGGGTTTCGAGTTCCCCATCGAGTATGGGTTTCTTTTCCATCCCTAGTAACCAATCACCAACTGAGTACTAGTGTTTTTTTAAGACTGACAAATATGTATCATAGAGAACCAACCAACATGTTACCGACCGAGCCAATTAAATTGGTAGCCAACATTTTTGGTAGCTAATAAGTTTGGCCGGTATTACAATGCCAATTAAGTAAACTTGGTACGGTAATGGTACAAAATTTTGAATACCACGGTTGCACCGTATCAACCAATTCATATATATATAGATATATATATATATATATATATATATATATATATATATATATATATATATATATATATATATATATATATATATATATAGAGAGAGAGAGAGAGCTAGGTTCAAATGTGGATTGACATCTATTGTGTGGACGTGTGGATAATGCTATTCTGTGAGAATTACAAAGAAAATATGTTGTTTGATAATATAAATACGCTTAATCTTATATAATTATTTTAATTATTAAGCATTTTCACTAATTAAATCGTCTATAAGGTTATTATACACTTTTTTTAATTATTCTCATTCTGTCAGAATGTTATCATGATGTTTATTGAGTCGTATTCTGTAAGAATTTAAATAAATAAAAAACGATGAATGAGAACAAAAATGAATTAGAATTGGTGAGAATCCATTAAAATAACAATAGTTCTGTGAGATTGAACGTATTCACATTAGTAAACAATATATTCTCTTAGTAATTTTCATAAAATAGCATTATCCACACGTCCACACAATAGTTGTCCATCCACATTATAGCCTAGCCATATATATATATATATATATATATATATATATATATATATATATATATATATATATATATATATATATATATAAGGCTAGGTTATAATGTGGAGGGACAACTATTGTGCGGACGTGTGGTGTAACATCTCGAAAAGAGGTATAGCTCTTTGACCTTAATCTTTTATGTATTTGTCAAGACTAGTCCTTATTGAGAAAATATGGCAATTGAGTACGCGGGGCGTACGCATGTGTACGTGCAGCGTACTCATGCACTTTGCTTGATCGCGGAGGTCACCTAGTACACTGGGCGTACTAGGCTCAGAGTAAAACCCTAATGCCCTTTTTTGCCCCTATTTAAGGAAAATGATGGCCTCATTTCCAGCCACCATTTCCAGCCTCCAGCCTCCAACCTCCCTCAAACCCTAATTTCGTATTCCTAGCTTGTGTGAGTGTTTGTGGCTCATTTGAGTGTTCTTGTGAAGCTTGTGGTGAAGAAGGAGCCTTGAATGAAGGATAGCTTGTGCATCTAGCTCTTGGATCTGAGTTCTACTCTTATTGGTGCATCTTCCAGAGATATCAAGTTCAAAACTTGCTCATTGTTATGTTAGTTCATGTTTTGGGTCCATTTTTCGGGTTTTATGTCCCAAGTTTGGAGCTTTGTGAGTTTGGTGAACTCCAGAGCATATCTCCTGTCCTTTTAAGTGTATTTGGTTGTCTAGATTCATAAAAATGGGAACTTGATCGTCTAAACCTCTCTATGTATGAGTTATGTGGACTTTTGTGTTGGGAAGGTTAGAGTTTGTGGGTTTGGGACTTGTTCAGTCAAGCTAAGGCTCAAAGTCCACGACTTTATGAAGTAATAGGCCTTAGTCAGCTCAGATCTGTAGTTGTAGCATTTGTCTTAACGGATTAAGACCAAGTGAAGTGAGGAGTGGAAGTCCGAGGAGTACGTCGTGCGTACTCCCAGCTACATGCAACGTAGTGCTGAGACCCCCCGATGCATTCATGGTTGGTTGTACGCCCAACGTATAGGGTTGTACACCCAGAGTACTCACTAGGTGTTGACTTTCGATTGACTTTTGAGCTTTTGGTCAATTTGTGGACTTTTGGCCAAGGAGGGGCAAATTGGTCTTTTCACCCTCCTGAGATTTTGTAGAGAGACTCGGTCTAGCATTTTGAGATTATTAATAGTATTTATTAATTAGAGATGAATGTGACATAATTAGGCGGAGTCTAGACCGGCAGTTCGGGTGCGAGATTGATTGCTTTCCAGCGAGAGGTGAGTCATCTCACTATACTTACCTATGTGGTAACTTTTGTGTGACTGGAGGGTTTTATTCATGTTATGGACCGGAGGGTCTTAATTGTATTACTGACCGAAGGGTCTTATCTGTTTGTGTGTTATTATGCACTCTGTCTCTGTGACTTATTCTGTTATATTATTCTATGTATCTATTGAGACATGACCGGAGGGTCCATACCCAGACATGAGACCGGAGGGTCATCACTGAGACACATGACCAGAGGGTCCTTATTGGGGTTTAGCCATGAGAGGCTAATTATTTGTGTATATGGTATTTTAGGGAACTCACTAAGCTTTGTGCTTACAGTGTTGATTAAATATGTTTTAGGTACATCATAGGATCGCGGTAAGGCACCGACATGATTTTACACACCAGCTTGATGATTAGATTTATGTGGATTCTGGGATACTTGACTTTGTTTCATGATATTTTGTATTTGACTATTACATTTTGGCATGGGTTGATGCTATGAACTATGTTTTGAGAAATTTAAAAATGAAATTTTTGGTTGAAAATTTGAGTTGTTACATGTGGACAATGTTATTTTATAAAAAATACTAAGAGAATAGGTTGTTTAGTAATGTGAATACATTCATCCTCACACAACTATCGTTATTTTCGTGCATTCTCACTAATTCTTATTCATTTTTGTTTTCACACATCGTTTTTCACTCATTTTCATTCTTACAGAATACTACTCAATAAACATTTTGACAACATTCTGACAGAATGAGAATAATAATAAAAAGTCTATAATAACCTTATAGACGATTTAATTAGTGAGAATGTGTGATAATTACAATAGTTATGTAAGATTGTACGTATTCATATTATCAAACAACATATTTTCTTTGTCATTTTCACAGAATAGTATTGTCTACACGTCCGCACAATAGATGTCAATCCACATTTGAACCTAGCTCTCTCTCTCTCTCTCTCTATATATATATATATATATATATATATATATATATATATATATATATATATATATATATATATATATATATATCAATTAATAAATATGAAGAAATATTAATTATCACATTTTTATGTTTCAATTAAGAGTATCAAGTCTGCAATTGGCATTACATATACATTACTCAATTACTTATACATTACTCAAAAAAAGAAAACTAAAAACAATTAACTAACCACTTCTTAGACTAGTATATCATTTTTTGCTATTTATTTATAGATAATGTTTACAATCAAGGGGGTGAGACAGTCGTGTAGTTACTGTACAACAACGTGATGGTTGAATACATCTACTTTGCATTGTACATGATAGTTATTTTATTTTATATGTGTATAAACAATATTAAACATCAATGACAATTTTTTTGATTATTTTGTTTTCGGTTTTGGAAAATTTTCTAACCACTTGGTGATGATTATAATGTGAAGCCTAATATAGCTAATCAAGTGACAAACTCTTTAAATATAAAAATTAGTTAAAGTTTTTGGTATATACCAATACCAATATGTACCAACCAAATTTTTGGTAGCCAAATAAAGTGGTACCAAGTATAGTTGTTACGGTACTGGTAGTTAAATTCTCCTGCCAACTATAGGTTGTACTGGTAGTTTAATCATTTGCCGTTTCCAAAAAAACTATAGGTTGTACAATACGCGGTTTGAAGAAAAAAAAATCGGCACCGTACCAATTCCACCCCCTAATTTATTGTACCAATTCCACCCCCTAATTTTTTTTACAAATGTAACCAAATTTTAAGTTAGTATAATAAAAAATATGCACTTAGTCTAATACAAAATATTAGATAATAGTTAGTTTAAATCCATAAACATTGGTCACATTTATGAAAAAAAAAAACACACTCATATTTGGTTTGCAAT